TAATAATTACTTTATCTATCATTATAATCATAAACAAATAATTAATATAAATTGATATTGATGGGATATATTGAAAATCATTAATAAATTTGTAATGATAAATTATGTCCATGTTAATTTTCAAATAATACGATAAATTTAAGTTTTTTAGATGAAGATAAATGTGTTTCCCTTATTTTTAAAGATTATGAAAGTATTTTTATTTTATTTTTTCTAAATAATTTATATTTTTTTATTAAAAAAAAAAGCCTCGTATGATTTTATTTTAAAATTTATTTAATATAATTTTAGGAATTTGATAAAATAATTATAAAAAACAAACAGTAGTAAATAAGTAATATTTTTTTATTTTATTTTTTTCCTATTTAGAAGGGTTTTTAATTTTTGTTGTTTTTATAACAAAAAAAAAAGGAATTATAAGATATTAGTATAAGATTTTGTTTTTTTAGTATTTATAGTGAATAAAATTTAATAAAAGCCTATTATTATCTCAAATCTTTCATATAAAAATATCAAAATAAAGCATTTTTTTATAAAATACTGGAAATTTCATGCTGTACGATTATCGAAAACTCCATAAAAAGTACAGATTAATCCTTGAAATATTCTTATAAGTAAAATAAAATAAAAAAAAACAAAAATATTTAAAATAAAATAGATAAAAAGATCAATAATTAGCTAAATAATTTAATACTTACTAAAAAATTGTCTAAAATGAAGAAAAAATAAAAACAATAAAAAAATATATAATAAAAGCATTATAAAATAAACAAAAAATATACCAAAAAATGATAAAAGGTTACCCTTAAATAAATACACTTTATAACGAAATACTTGAATTAATGAAAGAATTTTAATTAATATAAGATTTATTATCTAAAGAGTTGAAAAAAAATAAAAAGTCAATGTAATATTTAAAACTTTAATTGATAGTTTCCTCAAGAATATATAATGATCACTCCAGAACTAAAAAAATAGAAAATAAAATTCAAGAAATCAATTTCAAAGACAAATTTAAAGATCCGACCTTAATTAATTCATTAAACGTATTATAAGGTAATTTTTTTATTTTATTTTTTAATTTTAAAAAAATTAATATAAAGGAGATGTAGTTTCTATAATAAGTGGTTTTAGTACACAAATAGCATCTATTAAGTCATATTCTAGTAATAGTCCAAGCTTTTTTGGGTATAAAGATCAAGAATTTAAAACATTGAGTTCTTTAAATGATTTAATTCCAGATTGTATAAGTGTTTGGCATGATAATTTTATTGTTCGACTTGTAGAAACTGGAATTTAGAAAATTATAAGAAAATATAGAGTCGCATTGGCCAAGAATAAAGGTTAGTTTAATTATTATTTTTTATAGTAAAATAAAATAAAATTAAGATGGATTTATATTTCCTGTTAAAATTTATGTAAATTATTATTGGAATATAAAAGATGATTTTTGTTTTTCCGCTTTACTATTGAAACTAAAATCTAATAGCTAATATATATTACTTGATGAAAAAGGGAAAATAAAAGAATTTTCTAAAAATTTCTATGAATTTTTTTATAACTATTTATAAAAAAAAGTTGAAAAAAAGCACATTTATAATAACAGAATAGAGTATTTTTTTCCATATATAGATAAAGTTTTAGAAAATTTTGAAATGTCATAATAGTATGAATAATTAAAATATGAAATTAATACTAAAAAAAGTAAATAATTATTAAAGAAAATTAAAATAAAAAAAAATAGATTTAAGGCAATTATTAACAGCTAAAAAAGATATTTAAAAAATAAATACTCTATCTAATTAAGGAAAAAATAGTATTTATTCATAGAGTGAATATTCGACTACAAACTAAAATCCTATTGTATTTGAAGCATTATTAAATATAAAACAAGAAAATATTCCTTTTATTAAAGAGGGATAATTAGTTTTATTTTTAATAGAAATAACTAGTTTAAAATAATAATAGAGTATAATTATAGAAGAAAAAATAAATAAAATTAGTTTAATTGAACAAAAATAGGATTCTTTGAAAAATAAGAACCATTCTAAACCTTTTATTTGCAATAATTTAGAACTAAATAGACTTGGAAACAATATAAATAGCCCTTAAAATGCAAAATAAATATAATTTTCTGAATTATCTGTGGAAAATTTAACATAAAGAAAAGACATTATTGATAAATTATATAATAATTTTCCTATATAAAATAATTCTATAATCCATTCTTAATTTGACATAAAAATGTATTAATCAATTATTGAAAAAAACAAAAATAATTACCTAATATTAAAATAAACAAATAATTTTTCGAAGAATAATCTAAAAATGAAAATAATATTAATTATTAAAAAGAAAAAAATTAAGTTTAATTTAACAATTAAAATAAAAAATTAATCATTGAAAATAAAGAAAAAGTAAATAATAAGAATACTATTAAATAATAACTGTATTTTTTTAAAACAAATATATATAAAAAAATATATAAATATAAATTAAATATAAATATATATAAATATAATATATATATATATGTATATATATATATATATATGTATATATTTATTTATAGAATACCCGAAGTAAATCTAAATAATAGAAAATAAAAAAACAACTTAGTATATTAAATTTATGAAAACATAAACTAAAAAAAACATCCTTTTTTTCTATATTATTTAAATTTTTCGATTTTTTTCTATTGGCTATTTTTGATAATATTTAATATTTTTATCTTATTTTTTTTGTAATAAAAACTAGTAAATTTACAAAATTTAATTATTAAAATTGACTATTCGTAAACATTAGCTTATTCATTTAATATTTTTTCTTTAAATGGTAATTATCTTGCTTTAAAAAACCTTTAATTTTACACTGAAAATGATTTTTCTTTATTTTTTACTAATTCTCTCCAAGAAGTTTTCGAATAAACAAAAAATGATATTCTAATCAAATAATTATCATAAAATAATGATTATATATAGTTTCAATTTAATGAAAATATTTATTTAAAAGATCCTTCTTTAAATAGAAAATATAGTTATTTTGAATCTTTTCTAAAGATTATTAGCTTATAATATTTTTTTATATAAAATATTTAAAATGTGAATATATTAGATAATCTTTTATTCATAGTTTAATAAAATATGCCTTATTTTGTATAAGTTTTTAACTAAATATAAATATTGATAAAAGAAGAAGTATAAGAAAATTAAAATTAAATTACGAATGTAAAATACGTCCTTATTATTATTAATAGTTTATTTTTTTTTTGTTCTTTTTTTATCGTTGTTTATTTATATAGAATATATTTAATTAAAATTTAAAAAATACTAATGATTGTTTCAAGAATTACCGAATAAGAAGCTTTATTTGAAATTCTTAATTTAAAATTAATTTAGAAGCAATTATAATAAGAAAATGATTGTAAATTATATTATATATTTTAATTATAATCATTTATATATTTTTATTTTAGAATATTTATAATTAAATTATAAGAAATTACTAATATAAGAAAATGAATCAAATTTATAATCTAAATAAATATAAGAAAAATAAAAAAATAAAGAATAACATTAAAGTATATATTTATTTGATAGAATACGTAATAATAAACTAGATTATAATAAAGTCTATTTTATTGGATTTATTATTTTAATATCTGATTTAATATTTTTTAGTGTAATATTATTTATTTAATTATTATTATAAAAATATATTACAATAAAAGGGTTTTTTTATAATAAATAAATTTACATTGGTATTTAGTTAACCAATTACTGATTATTTATAATTTTTAGATTCTTAAAAACATTTTAATTATATGGTATCTTCCAATAATTTATAAATAATTTAATAATCATTAAAATTTTAATAACAAACAAGATAAATATAAATTGATTATATAAATAATGAAGAATTAAATAAAATAAAAATATAAGGATTAACAGAATCTATAACATATTTTTTAAATTAATTTCAAAAAACTATAAACAATAGTAATCAATCAAAACAACTAAAAATTTTTTTACAATAAATAAATTCAGATAATTCATGTATGTTATATGAAAAATATCTCTCAAACATAGAAATTTCAGTTTGTAAAAAAGCATAAAACGGAATTATTGATTTGGGACTAGTTCATGTAATAAATGATATTATATCAAATATACAAACGAAAGATTACTCTTAATTAAATAGTGAATTTGTTTATAATTTTATCATAAGTTAATAATATATTGAATAAATATAAGTATAGATTCTTGTAATGAAAATACTTTAAAATATTAAAAGCTATTTAAAAGATGACAATCATAATATTATTGACTAATTTATTGATTTTGTATATATTTTTTATATTTTTTCAATTATTTTTGTAACTTTGTTTCTTATGATTGTTGAAATTTACGGTATAATTTGTACAATGTCCAATTTTTTTTTTATTCGAAAGTCTATCCATTTAATTCCTTTTGAAAGAATTTCTTAAGATAATACTACATAATATTTACTAAAAGATATTATAGATAAAAACATATAAAAGTGAAAATATTATATTTTTAAAAGTCTTATATTATTTTTATATTTATAAATACTTTTAATTATATTTTGTTAGAAAAAATTATAAACTATTTATATTTAAATCTATAAAAAAATAATTCTTTTTTAAAAAATAAATAAATTAAAATTCATATTTTTTATACAATTTTTCGTAAATAGATATTATTTGTTATTTATTTTGTTTTTTTTTAAAAAAAATGTATTGTACGTATAATTTAGTTTTTTTACTATAGTTTTTGTTCTTAATAATAAAAAATATATATGAATAAATAATATTTCATTTTGGTAATTTTATTTTTTCTTAATCCTTTTTAATGCCATCAAGTATATTTTTATAATATGTAATTTATTAAATTATATATTTAAGTTTAGCAATAGATATTTTCGCTTTTAATTGTTAATATATTTACTATTATTATTTATTAAAAATATTATTTTTTTACTTTTTTCATCAAAATCTTCTTCTTATACAATAGTTTTTCTTTTTACTTTCTAATCTTTTTTTTTTCCTATTTCTTTAATTTTTTTTTCCTTTTAATTTTCTTAAATAAAATCAAGAAAATTTTCATTGTTTTTAGACTTTTTTTTATCAGTACATTTTTCATATTAATTATCAATAGACATTAAAATTTTTCCAAAATTTAAGTTTAATTGACAATATTATTTATTAGAAATTTCAATACTATTTTATATGGAATTTCTTTCATTTATTTTTTCCTTTTTTTTAAAAAAAAATAATAAATAAAATAAAATAAAGTAAAAAAATATTTATTTTTTTATAAAAAAAACTTCTAATTTTTTAGTTAAATCTTTTATATCATTATTTAATTATAATATATCTTAATTTTAATTCTTTTCATAAAGAATCGATTATTATTTTAAATTCTCATATTCTTCTTCTGTTTATTAATTTTTTTTGTTTAATTCTAAATAACTGGTTGTTAATTTTTAATATAAGCTAAGAATTTAAGGTATATCTTGATATTTATCAGAAATTTAAATTACTTAATTTAAATAATCACCATGTTTTTTTAAAGAATTCAATTTTTCATCTAATTAATCTTAATATTTTTATAACTCAATACATTATATTTATAATTCATTTATTTCTTTTTATTTACATTCTCTTATATTTTACTCATCTATTTATCTTTTTAAAGCCCTCAATTTTCTAGCTTCATTTTCTTAAAGAAATTTACAAAAATTTATTAAATTTGTTTATATATTGGAATCTCTTTATCTAATACAATTTTCTTGTTTTCTAAAGTTTTCTTCGTTCCTTATTTTATTTTTTAAAAGTAATAAAAATAAGATTATTTTTACTATAAATATAATGCTTTTTATGATTCAAAAGCTTCATTAACTTCATATAATATTCTTCGTTTTTCTAATAATTTTGTTGCTTGTGAAACAGTATCGAATTATATATGACTTGGTAATTTTTATTATTTAATTTTATTAATCATAATCTTATTTTCTTAAATAATTTTTAATTAAAATTTTTTAAAATAAAATAAACGAATATAAATTTTATAAAATAAATTTATTTTATTTTTTTCATAAAATTAATATAACTTTATTAAATATTTTTTTTTTTCAAGAAAAATATATATAAATTATTTATTTTTTTTAATTAATTTTTATATAATTGTATCTTTTTATTATGAATAAAAATAAATTATTTATATTATGAAAATAAATTTAATTATACTTATTTTAATTGATTTATTAAATAAAACAATATATGTATATATAGAAATAAAAAATTAAATAAATACATAAACAATTATGAAACAATAATAATACATAACTATAAAATATAATATAAATTATAAACCTTAAATTTGTTAAAAATTGCCTTCTTAAAAAAAAAGAAAAACATAATATTCAATTTTACTAAGAAAGGAAACTTTTTAAGTAAAAAATTCAAAATATTTATAAAAAGAGATAATACATTAAACATGAATTGTTATTTAAATTCGGTAAATTAAATTATTTTTGGAATATATTTTAATTCGAAAAAATAATAATTAATATCAAAAGCTTAGATATTTTTTTTATATTCGAATAAACATAAAGAAATAGAAAACTTAAATTAGATTTTTTTGTTTAAATATTAAAATAAGTTGGTACTTTTTAATTTGTTTCATAAATAAATTATTTGAACTAAAGATTAATTAATAATTCTTTCTAAATTTTAAAAAGTTAGAAATTGTATTATAAATTCTTAAAATGATACATAAAATATTATAAATAAAAAAAAAAAAAACTCATTTTTTTTATTAATTAAGGAAGGTCTATAAAAAAATAAAAATAACTTTAATTAACCTAAATCAATATTAAAGCTAAATAAATGTTTAAAAAGTTATAAGATTAAGATAATATAGTTTAAAAAAAGGCTAAAAATAGTTATATGATGCTTATGATTTATTTAAAAATAAAAAAATATTGAAATTAATAATAAGCTTATTTAAATTTTCAGGTTGAAAAAAATAAGAAAGCTTTTTGAAAAAATTCAAAATTATGGAATTTTGGGAAAAAATAGTAATCTAAGTTTTCAATATATCCTAATAATAAATGATTATTATTATTTTTAAAAAATACGATTATTTCATTTATTTTTTCATAAGTTATTGTTTTTTTAGATTGTTAAACTAAAAAAAAAGTTTTGAGTGTATTTTTTACAGTCTATTATCTTAATTATCTCGTATTAGTTTTTTTTACTTTCTAATATGAAGTATTAAATAATTAAAATTTTATATTTTTTAGTATTTATCATTATATTTATTATAATAGTCTCTATTTAATATATTTTAAATATATTCGAATAAATAAAATATAATTATTAGATTTTAAACTTATTAACTTCAAATTTAATTAATTAATTTAAAAATCTATATTATTATTCTAATATATTAATATCTTTTTATTTACTAGATTATATATCGAACCTTCAAACAGGATTAAATCTCATAAATATTATTATTTTATATATCAAGTATATTTTCTTATCTTTAAGAAATTCCATTAGTTTAGAAGTCTATAAATGTATTAATTTCACTCATTATTTTTTGTTCACTTGGAGTTTAATTAAATATGGTTTTTCTTAAAACTTAAAATTAATCAAAGCTTTAAATTTTTCTTCTATAGAAATTTTTTATTTATTTACTAATTTTATTAGTTTTTTTTATAAAAAAACAAAATTTAGGTTTAAATAATTAATTTATATTTACAAATAATAAACAATAATATTAAAAAAATACATAAAATTATAATTTAAATAATTCCTTTCAGAAAAAATTCATTTTACATCAGAAAAAAATCTAGTTTAGTTTTTAATTTTCTAATCTTTACTATTATTTTTATAAGAATTTGTTTTTATTTCATAATAAAGTGAAGGATTTTTAGTTTAAATTATTTTAGAAATCTCAATAAGTCTATCTTATATATAATTCATTTTATATTTTAGTTAATTGTATCTAAAATTTATGTTTTATTTTATTAGTTCATCAGGTAAATGAATAAAATCTATATATATAATTTCTATAAATTTAAATGGTCCATTTTCTATAAATTTTAAATATGTTTACTTATCATTTTAAATAAAAAAAACTGCAAAAAAACTAAAAATATTGTTTATATATTTTAATTATATAAATACTTTTCAGGATCTTTTATTATTTAATTAAGCATTTATATTAATTAATTTTAAAACTAATTTAAAGTTAAATCTAAATTTTATTCTTCATTTATTTTATTTAATGATTCTTTATCAATACTAATTTTAATTATTATATTTGCAAATATAATATAAATATTTTTACATTGAAATATAATTAAAAAATAAATTATTTTCACTATAAAGTTCAATTTTTAATTCAATTATAATTCCTTTAATATTTTTCTTTAATTTATAATTTATATATAATTATATATAATTATATATAATTATATTAACCTTCATATAACACTTTATATTTAGTATTTCCAAAGTTGGCTATTTTTAAATATTTTATTATTCTTAAAGATCTTCAACTCTTTTTATAAAAAAAAAAAAAAAAACTTTTTATAATTAATTTGTTTTTACCTTAATTCTAAAGGAATTTGTTTTTAATAAAAAACAGTATAATCTTAATCTTTATTATTATAATTAATTTTCATATAAAAAATTAATTACTTTCTTCAAAATAATTATAAATTGGAAATTAATATGACTTTTCTTAAGGCAATTTGAAATTATTTTAATACATTTAATATTTTTTTTTTAAAAAATATAATTTAATGATAAAAAATTCTAGGAAATAAAAATATTATTAAAATTTATTTTATTATTTTGCGGTTACAAAAATATTAATAGATTGATAAATTAATAATATAATAAAATAAATTATACTAAATAATAAATAAAAAATGAGTAAAATATTTTTGTTTAAAATATATAATAAAAAAAATATTAAAAAATTATGTTTAATTAATAAAAATAAATAAAAATTAAATTAAATATTATAATAATATATAGATATTTATTATATAATATTAATATAATAAATAAAAAATAATTAATTAAATTAATTTGTATAGTTAAGTATAATATATAATAATATAATTAATAATATTGAATTATATATTTTAAAAGAAAAAAAAAGATATTAATAATATATGATTAAATAAAAAAAAAAAAATTATAAATAAAATAAATATAATATATTATAAAAAAGAAATTACTAAAAATAAAAGGTAAAAGTATATATATGATTAAAATATATATAAATATATATAAATATATATATATATATATATATATATATATATATTAATATATATATTTTATTTAAATAATATATATTAATACTTTTTTATTTATTAATTATAATAATTAATATATATGAATTTCTTATTTTTTTTTAAAATATTTTATACATATTTTTTATTGTTGATTTTCAATTACTTTTTATTATATTTAGTTTTTTTTTTTTTTTAAGCTTTAAATATTTATATTTATTTTATTTAAATTATATAATAATTTTTTTTTTTTATTTTTAATATATTTATTTTCACATATTTATTAGTTGTAATTAATATATATCATTATTTTTTTTTATACTTTTTAAAATTAATAAATTATTAATAATATTTATTAATTTAATTTTTTTTATATTTTGCAATAAGATAATTTATTATTTCAATTTAATTTTGTTTTCAAAATAACTTTGTTTCAGTTTGATTAATATATAAATAATTTTATTTAATATTCTAATATTCTATATTAAAATAGTTTTTCTTATTTTCTAATTTAACATATTAAAATTTGAAAATAATTTATGTTTTAATTTATAATATATTAATAAAAATTATTATAATTATAAATTTTTTTTAATAAAAATTATTTCTAATTTTTAATTAATATTTTAACATAATAATAGATTAGATAGAGAAATTAATATATATTAAAATAAAATATATAATTTATAAATTGTTTATTTAAAGTTAATTAATTTTACATAAAAAAGCTACTTATAATTATAATATATATTTAAATTCACCATCAATTTTAAAAAAATGAAAAATAATCAATCAATGATTTAACCAAGGATGTTCTATAACTTATTCTATAGAATACCTTTTTTTATGATCAGGTTCTAATATTTTATTGAAAAGATCTTTCATTTCTTCACAAAAAGAGTTATCTTATTATGATAATTTAGCTAGAATTGACTTAAACTAAGACCAAAACTTTTCTTATTATTCTTTATAAAAATGTTTATATCTTTAATCTGTTTTCCTAGCACTCCCACAGAAAGGTAACTAATAGAAAATAACAATAAAAAAGCTCACTCCAAGTGCAAATACGTCATTGGATTTTTCATCAGAAGGGGTTCTAGGTCTTTTTCCATTTAAAACTTTAATCAACTCAGGGGCCACATATTATTTACATCTGAGTTTCCATTCTTTTTTTAAATGTTAATATTTGTTAATTTTCCTTAAGTTTTATTAAAAAACTGAATTTCTTTTGTATTTTCCTGGTTTAGGTAAAAGCACTGAAAATCCAAAATCCGCCAATTTAAAATCACTAATTTCATCAAAAATGAAAATATTATCTGGTTTTATATCATTATGCGAAATATAATTAGTATGCAAATAATAAACCGCCTAGGCAATTTATTTAAAGGCTACTCTTATTAAAGATAAATTAACTTTTCCATGTCTTTAATTTTTCGCAAATTACATCAAATTAAACTTAGCTTAGGGTAATATTATCCCACAAAAATTTTTATCTTATACAAATTCTTCAAATCCTAAGGAAATAATATTCTCATGCTTTATTTTGCTCAGAATTTTGAATTCATTTTTTAATTCATGGCATTCTGATTAATGTAAATGGCTCAGTTTGTGATTAATTAGTTTTATTACTTTACCAGCCGGAAGGTCAGTGTCAGAGTATTTCAATTCAAAAATTTTAGAATTTGATGATCGGCCTATTAACCTTTATCTATATTGCTTCAAAAAAGCGGAGTTAGGCTTAAATTCTTACTCGTTTATTTAATTTGAAAGGTTATCGTCTGATTCTTCTTCTGATAGTTGCTCTTCACATTTTTTCTTGAGTTCTTCCTAATAATATTTGCGGTCTATTGCTGCTTGTCTTTTTAATTAGTGGTAGGTTTCTGTTTATATTATGGGCTTTCGTCCCCTAGTCTTAGTACTAATAGTCTTTTTTGTCGCAATATTCGATATACCGGTTGTGGATATAAATATTGGGCGTTTTTGCTTTATACATTAAAGAATAAATTGATCGGCTTTTGATTTTTACTACTATTAAGGTTATTTCTATAAGAGTTATTCGACTATGGGTTATATTTATGATTCTTCTATCATTTGAGATTTCTATTTATTATTATTTTTATTTTTATTATTATTATATATATTTTTTTTTTTTTAGTTTTTTTTTTTTGTATTCTTTTTTTTTATTTTGTTATTTTTGTAAATTTTTTTTTTTCTTTTTCTTTTTTTTCTTATATGTATTTTTGTTTTCCTTTTTTATTAATAATATTTGTTTTTAGTTATTTTTTTGATTATTTAGAAATTTTTTTTTTTTGGAGGAAGTGGGTTTATTTGATAATATTTTTTAAAATAAAATATTTAACTAATATTTTGTATAAGAAACAAAAAATTAAAAAAAAGAAATTATTTCCATTTATATTTTAATTTTATATTAATAATAAAATTATTTTGATTAAAAATTTATTTAGTATTTTTTTTTTTTTTTTTTCTTAATTATAGAAATTGTTTTAGATTTACATTTTATTTTTTTTCCTTTTATATAATTTAAATAAAAAATAGAAAAAAAAATTAATAAAGAAACAAAATTAAATTAATAAATAAAAAATAAAATAATATAATATATAACATAATTTTTATTTAATTTAAAAAAACAAAAAAAAAGAAGAAATAAATAAAAAAATTTAAAAAAAGAAAAATAATTATATAATTAAAAAAATGGTAAATGAAAAATTCAATTTTAAATTATAAAAAAAAAAAAAATTATATAAAATTAAAAATATATAATTTTATATATATAGAAACTATTTTTATTATATATTAAAGATAATTTTAATTTTTTTTTATTTTTATATATTCTTTTAATTTTTAATATGATTGTATTTCATTCTATATATATATTTTTAAATATTCTTGTATTGGATACTTTATTCTTATAAAATATTCTTTATTATTTAGTTTTATATCATTATATATATTTTTTTGCTTACTCTATATTACAATATAATCTATTTATAATAATGTTATAAATATTTATTCTTTAATTTAATTACATTATTTTTTAAGAAAATTAAGGCAACATCAATTAAATATATTTTTTTATAAAACAATAACAATATCTATTTGTTATCTATATAAATAATAAAAACTTTTTAAATAAATTGAAAAAAAATTTTAATATATCTATTTAATATTAAATTATAATAAAATAATTAAATAAAAAAAAATTTAATAAAAAAAATAAATTAATAAAAACTTTTAATCGTAAATAAAAAAAAATTATAATTTATTTTTAGTAGATAAAAGTGACTTAAATTTTAAGTATTTTATAATTTATAGCGTATATTGCATTTATTACCACACAAAATTATCAAGTATAACGAATTAATTTTTGTTTCGACTCTCTATTATAGTCAAAATTTATAAAAAATGAATATATTAATAAAATTAATATATTAAATATTATGAATAAAATACAAAATTTATAAATAGATATTTATTAATTATTAAACATATTTTTTATACAATAGAAATTGAAAGTTAATTTATAAAAATTAAACTTGTTAGACTTTTAGAATATAAGAATATCAATATAAATAAAAAACTAATAGCTAAAATAATATTGATAAAAAATTTATAATAATATGATTAAAAAATATATAAATAAAAAATTCTTTATAATTTAAAATCACATATACCTATAAAATTAATTATGAAAAATAAAAATAATGACTATGACTGTATTCTTAAAAAAAAATTAAAATAAAAATATTTAATAAATAATCAATTTAAAAAAAAAGTCTTATTTTTTAAAACTATTATATAAATAAATATTTATTCAAAATTTGTAGTATAATTAATAGGTATTTAACATTGATTTAAGTAATAATATTGAATACAATAAAATCAACGATTTGCTTTATAAATAAACTAATTATAGTGCTAATTATTAATTTTTAATGAAATATACAAATGCTTAAATTATGTTAATAAAGTGTATTTTAATATATCTGCTTATATATTCTTATTTAATATTAAATAATTTTTTATTATATGTGTGATGTTTTTTGAATTTTTTGAATTACTTATATTAATTAATGATTTTTTTTAATATAATAAATATAATATTTTAAAATATTTAAATTTGAAATATTTTAAAATAATAATATTGTTTATTGATATATATAATTATATATTTTTTTTTATTTTTTTTAAAGAAAATACCAAAATAAACAATAATATTTTGTTCTAAAAAAAAGCTTTACTAATAAAAAAAATGAGTAAAAAATAATATTTTTATTAAATAATTTATTTTTTAAATATTTTTAAAAAAGGTTTAAATAAATAATAGACATCAATTACAGAATTTTAAAATAATTCTTTTTAAAGAATTAATAAAGGGAAATCTTTGAATTAAAAAAAGTAACCAAAAACGGCTTAATTAAAAGACTTATGTAGGAAAGACAAATAAAAAATAATATATTTAATACACAAATTAGAATAAGAAAAATAAATAAAAGAATAATTATAATTAAAATTATAATAATAAGTAAGATTACATGAAGCAAAAATAACAAAAATGCGTTAAAAATCTCAAGACTTATATATTGAAAGTGCAAATATAAGAAAAGAATTTAATAAATCAATTAGGGAACTTGAAGAATCGACAAATTAAGTTACTTTAAAAAAATAAAATAAAATAAAATAAAAATATACAAAATAAATATAGATAAACTAAAAAAGCTTAAGATTAAGTAAAACCAATAATAATAAGTCATTAAATAGTTAATAACTAAACAAAAAATAAGAAAGTAAATAGAATTAAAAAAGTGAAATATATAAAAAATAATATGATAATAATTATTAAATTACTGAAAGTAGTATAGGAAAATTTGAAAAAGAAAAAAAAAATAATGACTTTAAACATTCAGCTATTAAAAGTGCAAAAGATAATATTTTAAAATAATAAAAAGAATATGTTTTTTTAAAAGATATTCTTAACGAAATTGATATAAAAGTAAAATATATATATATATAAATATATATTTATTTATATATATATATATATATATTTATTTATATATATATATTTTTACTAATTACAAAATATAGATCGATTATTAGAATAAATAAATATTAAAAAATGAGAGTCCAAATTTTAAATACTTAAAAAATGAAGAATCCAATTTAAAAATATAACAAAATGAATATAATTAAAATACAAAAATTAATAATTATTAATAATAATATTATAGTTAAAATAATTACAATTAAGATACAAATATTATAATCTAATAACAATATTACACATAAAATAGTTAATTTTAAAAATTAAATTAAAAAAAATAATCAATAGATAATTTTTAGAAAATATTAATTAAAAAGGATAACGAATTGAATTTTAGTTTTGATTAGAGTTATTATTAATTAGAAAACAATTTGAGCTTAGTAAATATAAATTAAAATAAATAAAATAAAAGTAAATTACCTAAATCTTTAGAAAAACAAGCAATACATAATAAATTTATGCAAGAATTTATATTAAATAACAATAATTCAAATAAATATACTTTAGATTTACTTAAAAGATATGATAATTTGATTGGATAAATAAACTAATAATTAAAACAAAAATCATTTAAATCTTTTTATATTAATTGAATTTATAATATGTATATATATTAAAATTAATAAAATCATATAATTTACAAAATATATGTACATTTATATAAAAAAATATATATAAAATGAATATAAAAAAATAAATAAATTTTCAAGTTGGAGAAAAATGCTGGGTAGAATATGATTCATAAGAAAATGAAAATATATATATAAAAGGTTAAATAAAAGAAACATCTTCTTAAAAAATAAGAGTTAAATTAAACTAATAAGAATTAGATATTGAAAAAATTATTGAAACTACTATTGAAAAAATTCATTAAAGGAATTCAGAAGAAGAATAGTTTGAAGATATGGTAAATATGGAAATTTTAAATGAAGCTGAATTATTAAATAATTTAAAAATAAGATTTTAAACAGATGAAATATATACATATGTTGGTCCAACTCTTTTAGTAGTAAATCCTTATAAATAAATGCCCTTATTAAATACATAAGAAGTTTCTAAAAAATATTATGAATAAATAATTGAAAATAAAGAGTTTGCAAATTAAATAAAAAAAATAAAACCACATGTATTTGCTATTGCAGCAGGAGCTTTTAAATAATTATTCGAAAACTAAAAAAAATAGGCTATTGTTATTAGCGGTGAATCAGGAGCTGGAAAAACAGAAAATGCCAAACTATGCATGAAGTTTTTGACTACAATTACTTAGTAATAAGTCGAAAAAACAGATTAGAATTAAGTTCAATAATCATCTATAAGTAATAAAAGTAGAAAATAATCAAACTAAGGAATATAAATAAATAAATCTATTGAAGAAAAAGTATTTAAATTATTATATTTATATTTAATTTTATATATATATAAATATATATATATATATATATATATATATATATATATATTTTATAGATTTTATCATGTAATCCTATTTTAGAAGCGTTTGGTAATTCGAAAACTTAAAAAAATGATAATTCAAGCCGATTTGGTAAATATGTGACTTTAATTGTTGATTTAAAAGAAAGAAAGATTGTTGGGGCTAAAATAATTAAATATCTTCTTGAAAAATCACGTTTAATTAATTAAGTTATTTAGTTTTTTATTTTTATTTATTTTTAAATTAAAAAAAAAAAAAAGAATTAAGAAGAAAGGAATTTTCACATTTTTTATCATTTTCTTTACAGTAATGATTAATAAAATTTGGAAAAATTTAAACTTAAAAATTCTTTACCTTAAAATTTTGCTTTTTTGAAAAAATCTAATACTTTTTAAGTTAATACAATTAAAGATGAAAGCTTATATAAAGAAGTAATTGAATCCTTTAATGTTTTAGGATTTTCTGAATAAATTTAAGATATTATTTGGTCTTTATTAACTGTTATATTACATTTAGGAAATCTTGTATTTAACGATAATAAATTATCTGATGGTAAAGAGAAAAAAATATATATATTATAATTAATTTTTGTCTTTTTTTATAATAAAAAATAAAAAGAAAATCCATGTGAAATAATAAATATAGAGAAATTATAAATATCAAAGGATCTTTTAGATATAGAAATATTAGATTTCCAAAAAGAATTATTGACAAAAACACGAATAGTAAATAAACAATAAATAACATGCCCTTTTTCAAAAAAAGACTGTGAAAATTAAAGAGATTCTATTTGTAAAGAATTATATTCTAGGCTTTTTGATTATATAATAGAAAAATTAAATGACACAATACTTCCTTATAATGTTCCTAAAGATATGCTTTTAAATAACCAGTTTTATTAAATTATTGGATTATTAGATATTTACGGTTTTGAAGTTTTCTAAAATAATGGTTTTGAATAATTTTTTATAAACTTTACTAATGAAAAACTTCATTATTTATACATATAATATGTAATAAAAGAAGAAAAACAAGTATATTTAGATGAAGGACTTTCCGAATATGCACAAAAAGAAATGAAGATTTAAGATAATCAATAAATAATAGATTTATTTGAAAAAAATAATAACCCATTAGGAATATTTTAAATTATAGATGATTTATGTAAAATGCCTAATACAGATGAATAGTTACTCAATAAAATTTAAAAAACTCACTAAAAAAATTCCAAAATAACGTTCTTTTTAAATTCATAGAGTTTTTTGATTTCGCATACAGCGAAAGATGTCGAATATAATGTTTCTGGATTTTTAGATAAAAATAAGGACGAGTTAAATTAAACGGCTAAGTAAATATTTCAAAATTCCAAAGTAGGAATTTTTTTCGGTAATAAAGATGACAATAATAATAATTATAAGTTTCTTGGGAGTAAATTTAGAAACGAAATGAATGAATTAATGAATGAACTTTTAGCAAGTGATGTTCATTTTATCAGATGTATTAAAACTAATGAAGAAAAAAAGTCTGGACTCTTTTTGCCTGCCTTTACACTTAATTAAATAAGATATCTGGGAGTTCTTGAATCTATTAATATTAGAAAATAAGGATTTCCTATAAGGAAAAGCTACGAAAGCTTCTATAAATAATATTCATTATTAATGACAATGAAAAATCATATGCCTTTTGCATTTAATAAAACTTAACAAATTGATTTTAAAACCTTAGTTTAGGAGTATTTTATATTTATTTATTTATATATATATATATATATATATATATATATATATATTTTATTTTTTTAGAGTTTTTAATATTTATTTTTCTGAATTATTAAATAATAATAAAAATGTGCTTTTTGGAAAAACTAAAATATTTTTAAAAATTGAAGGCTCTTTTTTAATTGAAAAAATTTATTAAGATAAAATATCACTTTTGTAAAAGAATTCATTAAAAATTCAAAAATGTTATTTTTCTTTTAAATAATTACAAAAATTAAGAAGAGGCTTAAAATGTATAAGGAAACTTTAAAAAACAATAAAAAGAAAATTTTTACTTAAAAAAAGCTCGATTTTAATAAATTAATATATATAAACTAATTATTAATACATCAAATATAATGAAGAAATAAAATAAATTAAATTGATTTAAAAAATATGGAAAAAATAAGTTAAAAAAATAGCTTAAATTAAAATTTAGAAATATAGGATTGCATATATTGTAAAAAATAAAATAAAATATATATATATATATATATATATATATATTTATATATATTTATATATATATATAGTATCCTTCATTTGAGTAATGTTGGAAATAAATTAAAGAAAAAAGAGTAATATTAATATAAAAAAAGTACAGGGGGTATATAATAAGAAAAAAATACAAAAAAGAATTGGAATAAATCTAGTTAAAAATATTAACTTTAAAATTCCAAAAATATTGTTAATTAATTTTACCTAAGATAAAGGCTTTTCTTATCAGAAGAAAATATTAAAGATTAAAAAGAGCATCTTAATATATTTAAGCTTACTTTAAGACAAGGTGGTTTTCATAATTATATAAAAGAATTAAATTTTCAGTTTTAAAAATATAAGCCTTTATACGTTTTTAAGCAAAAAGAATAATGTTAAAAGAAGCAAGATTGAATATTTTTATAGAAAAAAATAATTACAATATATAAAAAATATAACAAATGGAAATCAAAACACTTAAAGAAATCGAAGAATTACATATATTAAAACCACATGATTAATTATAAAAGAATGAGAAGAAAATGTACTTGTTTTCTAATATTATCGATTTCGAAATACTTACTGATATTAATTAAATTTACGAAGATTTATCATGGTCGTAAACGTTTAAAACTCTATATACATAAAATTATGAAAAGTAGAGTTATATAGAATATGTTTATGTATATATTAATTTTAGTAAAAAAATTACCAATATTTTATTTATTTATTTATTTATTTTTAAAAAAAGGCAGGAAATACACACTCTTTAGCATCTAATTCGACTGGAAAACTCTTTATTTGGGGTTGGAATGATTATAATTAACTAGGAAAAGGCAAAAATTACCCTTAAGAAATGCATTTTCTAAAAGAAAACATTATACAAACTGGTTGTCTAAAAAATACAACTGCAGTTTTAGATGGGGAAGGTAATTTCTAATTTTGGGGAGAAAACAATGGAAAAATAGAAGGAAAAGAAATAAAAAAATTTGAATTTTCAAATAAGGATGAAAGAATTTATTTATTATCAAAAAAAGGGGAATTATTTCAACTAAAGATGAAGAACTTATAAATTGAAAATATTTTTAAAGATTAAAAAATAATAAAAAGTGTATGTTGTGGGTATAATTTTACCCTTATTTTGTGCTAAAGGGGTTTAGTTTATTCTAAAGGAGAAAATAAATACGGAGAATTAGGATAAGGAGATAATTTAATAAGAGAGAAAATTTGTCTAATAGAATTTTTAAAGTAAGAAAAAATAGATTAAATTTCTTCCGGTTTTAAACATTCGGCTTGTAAAAGTTCTCTTGGAAAAATATTCACTTGGGGATTGGGCATTAATGGATAATTAGGGCATGGAGATTTTGAAAATTAGGTTTTTCCTAAAAAAATATGTTTTAATTAAAAAATCTTGTAAATTTCTTGTGGATTAAAATGTACAATTTTGTTAAGTGAAGGGAATTTATTTTGGTTTGGATCTAATTAATAATTAAAAAATAATAATTTTCCTATTAAATATTAATTTGATAAAGTTTATATTTATATATAAAAAATATATTCTATTTAATATTATTTATTAATATAGGATTCGGTTTTTAACTAAAGTAAATTCTAGATTGTAAGAATATTTTGTAGTTGGAGTAAATCTATAAGTATTATATGTGTTACAATCGCAAATTGTGGATAATATCTTCAAATAAAATAAAATTAGAGAAAAAAAATAATTTAACTTTTAAATGAATAATGGAATGAATTTAATATTAATTCAAGTATTTTTATATCTTATTAAATCAAAAAATCAATATATACATATTTTTTATTTTAATATAGTTAATCCTCCTTATATTAAATAAGTATCTAATTTTATTTCCGAAAAAAATATGAAATTAAAAGAAATTTGATTATATTTTATATATATAAAAATTAAAATATTAAATATATATATTATATATATCTATATTTTTTATTAATTAAAAATATTTTGATATTTTTAATCAAATAAAATGAAATTTAGTGAATTTATGACTTAATATAAAAATTCTTTTAATTTAGTTAATGTAAAAAATATAAATTAGAATTAATTATATATTAAAAATATGAGTTTTTCTAAATAATTGGTAAATAATTATAAAGAAAAACAAGAATATTAAAATTTACTTATAAATTTATTAAATGATAAGAATATTGATAGATAAAGTATATATTATCTTTATAAGCAATGCAATTAAAGTGATTTATTTCCTAATAATAGCAAGCTTTTAATGAATTATTTACTTGATACAAAGCGAATATAATATAACATGATAATAAAAAATTCAATATATTTATTTAAATTTATAATTAAATTCTTATTTATTGGAACTATAGTTAATTTTGGCATAGTAACTTATTATTATTTAGAATATGATATAAATATTAATCATCCAAGGGCATCAGATTGGCATATTTACAGATTTAAATGAAAAGTTTATAAATAAAAGAAATGTTAAATAACATTTAAATATATTATTTAATACTATATATATAATATTATTAAATGCATTTATTAATAAAAAAAATGATATTGAAATAAAATAAACAAATTTATTTTTTAGTTTAAAAATAATAATTTTGTTATTGTTTATTAACAAATATAATTTAAAATATTTAATAAAATATATAAAGTTTAAAGAAAAAAATTAATTATTATTAAATTATTATAATTTATTTATAAATAAAACTTTTAATATCAGAAAAATCATTAAACAATTATATTAAATATAATTGAAAAAGACAAAATAAAATATTATAATAATATATATATGTAAAAAAAAAAATTTTATAATATATATATATATATATATATATATATATATATAATTATATATATATATATATTATAAAACATTTTAATTTTTTTTTTTCAACATAATAATTAATTTTTGTTATAAATTTTTTATTAATAATCTTTTTTTATAATATCATAATAAACTTTATTAGCTTTATTATTTTTCTTATAAAGGGTTTATTCTACAAACTGGACATTTAGCTTATTTAATAAGCCATTTATCTATACAAGTTTAATTAAAATAATGTTAACATTATAAAGTTCTCAATTTTTATTGTTTTTAAAAATCTTCTAAACAAATAGCACATGTATCATTTTCTAATTCTAATTAATATTTACTTAATCCATTAATTTAAATAAATTATTATTATTTGATTCCTTATTCTTCTATATTTAATTATTAATTTCCTTCTCTTAAGTTATACAATATAGTAATTAATAAATCTATAGGCCTACTTCCTTATTACAAATTCTCTATTTACATTTCATTTATTATTGCAAATTAATTTTATTATCTTAAAACTTGTATATTTTAACTAATTATAATTACTCTTCTATATATTAGAATAATTACATAAGAAAGTATAACACACATTATAATCGAAAAAGGATTTTTTTCAAAAAACATATTATTAATAAAAACGAAACAAAAAATTGAGATAATGAAAATTAAATAAAGTAGTTTTTTTTTTTTAATTATTTCATTAAATAAATAATGCATATTATTATCTTAGTTTTAATAAATAATTGATTAGTTAAAATTTTAAAATTAAAATAATTAATTGGCTTCTAATATAATTGGAATCAATGTATTTTATCTATTCATTATATTAATTATTTATGATTTCTTTATTATAATTTATTAATTATGGTATTTTTTATAAGTAAAAATTTTTAGAAAATTCTTATTTATTTATTTTTTACAAAAAAATTAAAATGATTTTTATAATATTAAAAAACATAAAGGTTTTAATTTATTTTTTATTATTATTTGTAAGCTTTATTAATACATAGTAAAATAAATAAGGATAAAAATTTATTAATATATATATAATTATATACTTTTTATAATAATAAAATATAAGTAACAAAAAATATACGCATTAATATATATTAATTTTTTTTTAAAATATACAATATATATAAAAAATTATTTAAAATTTTAATATTTAGGATAATTAATGGTCATTTTAATTGAGACGTAAAAAAAAAAAAGAACATATAAAATTTTAATAGATAGAATATCTATTACGTTTGTTACATTTTCAATTTTTGTCAAAAAATTTAAAATATTTTAATAATTAAATATAAAAAAAAAATCATATGATAAAATATAATATTTATAAACCCAAAATCAATAAAATTATATAAATAAAATATTATGTTTTTAATATATATATATATACATGAAAAATATATTTAATAGATATTTGCGTATAATATAAAGAATATATATTAAGTTAAAAAATTAAAACTTATCTAATTAAAAAGGCATATATGAGAGAATTTTTAATAGATAAACGAATTTGTTCAAAATTTTCAAAAATCATTCAGTTTTAACTTAAATAAATTAAAATATAAATATTTAATAATTTTGACAGTATAAAATTTTAAATTAAAATTGGTTTTATTATAATAAGAAATTAATGATAAAAAAAATATTAAAATCCTATTTCCAATTATATTATTAAATGATTAATAAATTGAAGATTATATTAAAATTTACTGTATTGACTAAAATTAAAAGTATTTTTATATATTAAAAAAAGAATCATATTTTTTATTTTGAATTTTCTAATTAAGACTATTATGAAAAAAAATTATTAATATAATTTTATCAAATTCACCATAATTAAGTTTTTAAAAAAAATTATTTTAAATAATAGAAGATTTTACAGTATTTGAGAAAAAGTATTATTTATATGAAAAACTTTAAACAAATTAAGTTATGTAGAATAAAAATTATATAACATAAATTTATGATTTAAATAAATTTAAGGCTATTGGCATTATAAATATTTAATAATATATAAATGTTAATTAAAAAAGAAAAAAAGTGTTAATTATTAATAATTTTAGGTTAAAAAAGAAGAAGTATTTTTCAAATAATCTAAGTTATCTTATATTTTAATAATAGAGTAGAGAATTAATATAAGTAGAAATAAATATTCAAACATATTAAACAAAAGTATATAAAATTTGAATTTAAATAGATATTTTTCATTTTATTTTGATTATATTTTCACCCCCCTCCCCCCAAAATAAATTATTGTAATTATTTAAATATAAAAACAATTGACTTCTATTTATTTAATTTTATTAAGAATAATAAAATATATATTTCATTTGCTAATTAATAATGAACAAAAAATTAAATTTAACTTAAAATCAAAAAAAAAAAACATTAATTTGTATCGTTAAATTGTCTCTTCTAATTAATTTTAATTTAAATATGAATTTAATAGCCTTCTCTTTAATTTGTTTTTACATATTTTTTAAAATATTTCATTTTTAATATATTCAATTTGGCTTTTAATTTATAATATAATATTTTCATTTATATTAATTTTATAAAATATAATATTATTTTATATATTTTTTTTTTAAATTTAAACTTATTTTAGCTATTAAAAAAAATGAAGTTTTACGAAAAAATTTTAATAAAAATATTAAAATATGGATAAATACCAAAGCACATTGCATTTATAATGGATGGAAACCGTCGTTTTGCCTCTAAAAAAAACCTTCCAAAAACATAAGGACATTATTCTGGTTTAAATTCACTTAAATAATGTTTAGAGTGGTGTTTAAATTTAGGAGTAAATTAAGTATCTGTATTTGCATTTGCTATAGAGAATTTTAAAAGATCATAAGAAGAAATTGAAGTCTTAATGAATTTAGCGAAAAAAAATTTACTTGAAATGGCATAAAAAGATGAATTTTTATAATAAAATAACATAAAAGTGAATATTTGTGGGAATATAAAGCTTTGTAAAGAAGATGTACAAGAAGCAATGAAAAAAATAGAAGAATTAACAAAATAAAATACGAAATTATAACTTGATATTTGTTTTGCTTATAACTCTACATTCGAAATTGATAATTCGATTTAAAATATAATAAAACAAGAAGACATTAGTATTGAAAATTTCAAAAAAAACTTACTTATATAAAATAATCCTGATATTATTGTAAGAACTTCAAATGAAATTAGGCTTAGTAATTTTATGATTTTCTAAAGTAATAATTCATAATTAATGTTTATGAAAGAAAATTGGCCTGAAATTAGTATTTTTACTTTGGCAAAAATAATTTTAAAATATTAAAATTGTGAAAAAAGATAAGAACAAATTTAATAAATGTTAAATTTTTAATGATTTTTTTTTTTTTTGGTTTTTTTGTTTTTTATTTTATAACAAAAAATAAAATATTTATAATACATTTATTATTTTCATTATGCTTTTAATAATTTTTGTATTAATTCTTTAAATGCTTCTTCTATTCCTCTTCCTTTTATTTTATTTTTTTAACAAATAAAATAAAATAATTTTAATATAAAGCTAATAAATTTCTTTTTTATTTTATATATCACCATTATAAGCAGAAGTATCAAAATAATCGAATTACCTTGACTAAAAATTGTTTATAAATAAAAAAATATATATATTTCATTAAAATAAGTACTTTTGCCCATTAAAATCCTTCTTATTCACTAACAACCCTTATACTAGTATCATTCTAAATAAAAATATTAAATAATTTTTTGTAAAAAAATAGAAAAAACAAAACCTTATTTCCTAATACTATTGTTGGAAGTCCTTACACTCCACAATCATTAGCTTCTCTTAACCATAAATCTAAGCCATCTAAGCTTCTTTTTAATCCTACATCGAAAATAAGGATTATTGCATTTGATTCTTTATAAAATTCGTTTCTAACTTCATAAAATTCAGGATGTCCAGAAAAGTCCCAAAAATTTAATTGTACAATTTCTTTTTATTACTCAATTACTTTATTTTTATAATCTATTGCTATTGTTGGTTTATATTTATGGTCAAATTAATCTGAAATATATCTATCTAATATTTATGATTTGCCTACATTTCCATCTCCTAAAACTAGTACTTTAAATCTTTTTGTATCTTTTGGTTAAGAAATGTTTAATTTGCCTGGTCTAATAATTATAATTTTTATGAAAATATTTTAATTTAAATATTTTTTTTTTTTTGATTTAACTTTTATATCATTTTTTTATTTTTTACTTTTTTTATTTTTAATTTATTATTAAAAAAAAAATTAATTATTTTTTTAAAAAATAATAGTTTTGTTGTTTTTTTATAAATAATTTAATCATAAGTATTAAATTTAAATATTTTATTATTAGCTTATTTGTTTAAATACTTTTAATATTTTTTATAAAATCTATGCAAATTATATAATTTTAATTAAGGAATTTAGAATTATTTCATTTAAAACAGTATTAGAATGTAATATAAGAAATAAGGCAATTATAATTAATATAAAAAATTTAAAGTTTTGCAATAATATAAAAAACAGCTATTTTACCGAGAATTATGACTGTTATTTGTCGAAAATTATAATAATATTTTAAGGAGAAACATATTAATTAAAACATTTATAACAAAATATAAATAAAAATAGATTAAAAACATACCTCTTATTAAATTTAAGAATAGCTTTTATTGTTTAAATAAAACTTTTTAATTAATAAATATAAAAACAATTTTTACATTAATAAATAATTAATATTTTTATATTTATTTTGTATATAAAGTTTTAAGCAATTAATATGACAATTTTATAGATAACGCCAAAATATTTAGCAAAGCTTGTTTTTACTAAGTAATGAATGAGAAGAAGCAATTCATATTACGTAAATAAGGTATAGGATGAATTTTCATAATTTTAAAGCTTAAATCGTCTCTATACAAATAAATTCAATAAACAAAAACAAAAATATAAATATATAATAGAAAATCTACCTAAAATCCTTTCATATAAAAATATATCCTATTAGGGATATAATATATTTAATATTTATAATAATAAATATATTGTTAATTCAATTATAATTTTTTTTATAATTATCAAACTATAATAATTGAAGAATTTTTATTAGTAACTATTTTTTAATTATTTAATACTAATAAATACTTTATATTAAAAAAGGAGTTTATAATATAAAATAATATTCTCGCGCGCGAATTTCTTTTAATTTTAGAAATATTTTCGGAATTAATAATTTATGGTTGAAAAAAACCTCATTTTTTTTAACATTTTAATAAGATTAAAATTATTTAAAAAAAAATAAAAAAAACATAATAAACTATCAAATAATTGAATAAAATATCGTTTTTTTATAATAAACTATAACTTAATCATAAATGTTTTTATTTTTTACAGTAATTTATTTTAATAAAAGGGCAAATAAAAAAATTGACAATAGTCTTTTATTTATTTAAACAAAAATAAATAATAGTTAAAATATCTTTTAGTATACTTATCCAAATACTTTTTTTATGTCATATTTTTTCATCTGTTTGTCATAAAGTAGGGAATTATTAAAGAACGAACGAATATCACTTTTTTTTATTCGATCTTATACCGAATATTTCTACCATTAAATTAAAAAATATACACTATTTTTTTCTTATAAATTTTGAAAAAAAGCCATTCATCACATATTTTATTAATAAATTTTATATACCCCAAATGTCGTATTAAATATCAAAAAAAAATTAAAGGAAACTTATTATTTAAAAATTTAATAATATACCTAAATATCAATTTATTAATAATTAAATCTTTTTTATTGTTCTAGACTGACTAAATGTAAAAAATTAGATTGTCCTTTTGGCTTCTAAATTAATATTGAGTAAAAAATAAGTACATAAGCCTAATTATTTGATTTCACACCGTTTCATGCTTATAAAAGGTACAAATTGTCCTTATAAAGATGCATTTTGATTTTTATAGATATTTATAGAGAATAGTAATAATTACTAATTTAAACACAAATACGAATACTAAATACTAGTATGAATATTTGAAAATATAAATACTTAAATTCGCCAAATTCAATTACTAATTTTTTTAAATAATCATATACATATTTTTCTGAAGTATATTCGTATTTATTTTTTTGTTAACTTGAACATTTTTAAATTAGATCTATATAAACTTATATAATACTATTTGATTTCTAAAAAATATTTAACATTGTTATAGTTTTAATTTATAAAAAGTATAAACATTTTAAATTAAAAAGACTTAAAATATTTTATTATTAAATTAATTATATTTTATATATAAATTATAGTACCCCTTATTTGAATTTCTAATATACCGAATATTCTTAAATACGATATAAACCCTATGTTTTGCTTTAATTATAAAAGGGTTTTATAATTACGATTTTAGCAGAATAGATCAAAATACATAAAATTTAGTCGTTCACTAGTAACATATTCACCTGTTAGTGGCAACAAGGATAATTCGATATCTTATATAGAGATTTAAGAAGAAAATAATTGCAGTAAATACATAAGTATTCTTTTATTTTGCAACTTTTACTATTATCACTTTGGATACATTGCACTTAATTTTGAAAAAGCAATTATTGAATGTTTAGCTATCCTATATTGACATATATATTGAGTAATATTTACAATGTATTTAGATAAGTGAGAAAAAAAAGTAAAAAGATTATCGTTTTTAGTTAATTGATAAATGAATAATTATATAAATCCTTAGCTGGAATAAATGGAAAGAAAATAGCTCAAATATATTAATTAATAGAGATATAAAAGTAATAAAATATTTAAAAAATCTATATACCAAAGTATTCTAATTATATAAAAAAAAGAAGAAGTGATTTTATACTTTATATTGATCAGAAGAAGGACATTATTATAGATATTTTTCGAAATTATAATATGTATGCCTAAAGGCTTTAATAAACTTTAGAAACCTTTGATAAAAAATTAAACATTTAACAATATTAGGTAATATTAAATGGAGGTATTTTTAGATAATTTAGATACTAAAAATAAAAGAAATTTATTTATTTACTTTTTTTGTGTTAAAAAAAAAAAAAATTAAATAATAAATGAAGTATAAATTGTGTTATATTATTGATTTGAATACAAAGAAAAAAAAAAATGTTATTATTAAAATAAAAAGATATTATAATTATATTAACTTTCATTTTATTAATTCATATTGTTTATTCGTTTTAATAAAAGACACTACCTTTGCCGAACTCTCTACAAAATTTATGGTTTATATTCCAAGCAGGTGGCATAAATTAAGGTTTCATTATATCAAGAAAATATTACCTCCACATTCTAATGAAATCTTTGATATCATCATCTGTTTTAAGTAAATCAACAACAAATTTTCCGTGTTAGTTTTTGAATTCCTTATTGCTTTCAACTTTTCCGATTTTTTAAAACTAATCAAGACCAAGACAATAGGAAATGAACTTTTCATTTATTTTAACATCTCCATTAGAATTAACTCCGAAATATTGATCTGAAAAAATTTAGATTTTACCTTAAATTTCTTCCATAGAAATAAATTACTTATAAATATCTCTTAAAGTGTTTTTATATTTTTTCCTGTTTTCTTTTGGAATACTATCTTTACATTTCGCATATCTCTTAACAGTATTATGCATTTTTTAAACTGCATTTTTTATTATCGAAGCCGTATCTTTTTAAACATAATCCACTTGATATTTAGAAGAAATTTCTAGTTTTAATTTATCAGAAAATTTTCCAGCTTTCTCATGACATTTAACACATAATAATATAATATCATGTGAACGATGACTTTTATATTTATTAGGGAAATGTCTTCTATATAAAGAAGGAACAATATGAAATTTTGTATATTTTTCGCTTTTTCCACATACTACACATTGATTTTCCCTTTCAGTTAAATAAAAATAATGTTCATTTTATTAAATTTCTATTTCCAATTCTTCTTGTCCTTTTCCATTTGGATTAAAATTTAATTTGATTATTGAAGGATTTGTTTCAATTAATGTCGCTAGTCCTTTTTTTAAATACCATTGTATCTTTTTTTCGTCACAATTACAAAGCTTAAAGCCTTATGGAGATAATATTTAACAGTTTCCATAAGGATTTTTCTTTATGTAATATTTCTCCTCAAACATCTTTGTACGGAGTGCTTTTTTATTGATTTTTTAAGTGTTATTTTCTGTTTGCTATTATTATATAGGAATATGTTATTATATTTCTATGATTTTTTATAGATTTTCTTAAAGAAATTTATTATTTATATTATTAATATTTTCATTAAAACATATTTGTTCACAAAATTAATATATTTCTTCGTCTGAGGCTATCTTATTGATATTAAAGTTGCATTCTTCTGCATAATTTTCTCTTAGTTTACATATATTAATGAATAGATTTTCTGTTTTATATTAATAATTTCCTTTCTATAACTTTCTATAAATATTCTTGTATACTTTAGAATCAAACTGCTTTTTTAGTAGTCTTTTTATACTTTTGATTACGATTTTTAGATTATTTTTATTAAATAATCATTACCCTATTATTCTATAATTTCTTTTAATAGCGAATATCTTAAATATATCAAATAATGAGAGTCTAAAGCCGCATATTCTAATTATTCTTCATTTAAAGGCCTTTAGGACCATTCAGAGAGTTAAAGTTCTTTTTTTTGATTTTATCAATATGAAAATTACAGTATTTATTTATTAATTTTACAAGTGAGTTATCCTTTTCTTTTTTATATAATTATACATATATCTCTTTTACATCGAAGAAGTTCTTTATGAAAAGATTTTCGAAATCTCTTTTTATCCATTATATGTCTGATTGTCCTGAATAAAATATTTTAATAATGTTTAAATCGCCAAATATTATCTGTAGTTGTTCTCTTATTAATTTTTTGTCGTTTATGTTTAATATATCTATTATATAGTCATCATATTCTGTTGATATTTATATTAAACACAAAAATCCTTCATATGTTTTTGAAAAACTTTATTCTGTATCTATACCTATATTGTATTTTATTTTTTGGTATCTTTTATTAATGGTATTTTACCTAGTTTATTATATTAGGAAATTTTTTATATAGATTTTATTAAATCATCGGATGTTTATATATATTTATATTGTCCTTTTTTAAATTCCTTTAATTTGATATAATCATATAATAAATATTAATCATATGATTAATTTAATGAATTCATTTATATTTTAAATTATAAATATATATAAGATTATTAATATTTAAATTTTATATATAATAAGAATTTTTTATTTATTTTCATTAGTCTAAAAATTAACAAATAAATACATTTATATACACATGTATATAGAAAATTAAAGATTTCATATAATAGATAATTTATAATTAATATCTAAAATAAATTATTTTTTAAAACATAATAAAACAAATGAAATATGAAATTAATTTAAATATGTATTTATAGTAATATATAAAAAAATAATAATAACACTCTCTTTAAATATTTATAAAAGTTAAAATAAATCGATATCAGTATACTATCCTCCCCTTCCTTTATCTTTTTTTATTTTAAAATAATTAAATTAAAAATTTTGAAGTTTTTTGTTATTTTCAAAGGATTTAATTACATCCCAATAAAAATCAATTTATCGTGAAAAAAAAAAAAAAAAAATTGTAATGTCTTAAAAAAAAGGTTTTATGATACTTATATATATACAAAAGTTTTATTAAAATATTTGATTTATATTTTGTTTTACAAAAAATAACTTTTTTTCTATTTTTTTTCTTTTTCAGAATTACATATATAATCTTATAATTAAATATATTTAGATAAAAAATAAAAAATTTATAAAAAAATAATATAAATATATTTTATATATAATCACATTATTTTTGCACCTTTTTATTTTCTTTTTTTTAATTATGGATTAATAATGTTAGTTTTAGGCCTTTTTTTTATTGATTAAGTTTGATTTTCCACATGAATTGAAGATTAAACTAAAGGAAAATTAACATTACTAGTAGTATTTTGACTCAAATTACTTTAACTATGAGTAATTTAACAATTTAAAGCTTTATTTTGACCTAATTTAATAAAATTACAACTTTTGACTTGTTCTTCAAATTATTAAACTTACACTATTAGCTTTTCATTATCATTAATAAGCTTTTACTTCTCGAAATTTTACGATTTAAATAAATCAATCATAAACATTCTTATTAAATCCTAAAATAAATTTTAATCTTTTTACCTTAAAATAGGTTCTCCTATTGGAAAAGCTGAATTAATTATAATATCTTTTAAATTAAATTAAATTTTCAATTCTAAATTAAAATTTTCAGTAAAATTTATTTAAACTTGATTATTTTATAGTGAATATTTCATTGTTTAAAAAAAATCAGAATAGCTTCCTTCTAATTTCATTTTCTATCGTACTTTTTATATTTTCTATTCATCATATTACTCCATCCAATAATTATCTTTGCCATCTGTAAGGTTTATATTTGCAATGTATTAATTTTACTCTTTTGTTACTTTTATCATAAATAAATAAGAAATATTATTGAACCTTATTAATTATGTAATATTATCTAATATATGAATTTGTTCATTATATGAATTTTGGTTCATTTTATTCTTGTGTTATATTTTTCGATTAATAAATATTTTAAAAATTTCAAATTAAATTTGTTAAATTATAATAAAAACATCAAATTTTGTTTTATTTAATAATTTGTAGATAAATATTGAAATATATGAAGTATATATACTATATAAAATTATGTATATAAAATGTAACCTACTATTAAGATTAATTAAATAAAATCGAATAAACTTAATTATATATACTAAATATTATATACAATAATTAATATATATATATATATATATATATATATATATATATATATATATATATATTTATTTCATAAAAAATAAACATTGTAAATAATAAGTATAAATTATGTATTAATAATTGAAAAAAAATAAAAACTTTACATAAATTTTGGAAAAAATTATAATAAAAAAAAAAAAAAACTGAAAAATCAAACAAATGAAAATAAGATATAAAATATAAATAATTAATTAAAAATTTGTAAACTTTTTTGATAATAAATTCATCAAAATTTAAAATTACTAAAAAAAAATTTAAATATATTATGCATTGATTATATTATTTAATAATCTTAGACATATAATAATATAAATTAACAGAAAATAATAATATAATACCCTAATTTTAATTAAAATAATTTAATAGATTAAATATATTTTTAATAAATAATAATATACTAACAAAATAACTATGAAAACGAATAAAAAAGGAAACAATTGAGTTGAGAAATAATTATATTATTTTAACACAACCAAACTTATTTTTTTAAAAAATAAAAGTGCAATTATACTGTGTGTGTGTTAAAATAGAGTTTTTAATAAAAAAATAAAAAAAAAATATAAATAAATAGAAAAAAATACTTCTACATCAAAAATTTAATTTAACGCACTAAACTACAGTCTATAATTATAAAATCAAACAAACAAACAAAATTAATAAAATAGTTTATTATTGTATAAGAAATTAAGAAAAAATCTCCTTAAATATAACCTTTAATAAAATAATATTATCACAGTGTTAAACAATGGATGAATGATTAATATTAAATTTTAAATAACTAATTTTATCTAAATTTTAAATGATTTTTGTCTGGTAATAGGAAATTTAAAATGAAAATAATTTAAAAAGAAAAAAAAGATAAATATGCATCTCCAATTAATATTTAAAAATTAATAATATAAAAAACTGATTTATTACTTGATTCCATATTAGCTTTAATTTAAAATAAAATAGTGAAATTAAGAGGAGATTTTTTTTTTCAGTTTTTTTTTTTTTTTTTAAAAAAAAAATAAAAAAAAGATAATAATATTATTTAATTAGATTTAAAGAAATTATAAAAATAAACCTCTATATTAAATAAAAGGAGATTCAATAAACTAAAATTAGGAAATTAATTTAAAATTAGATTAGAAATTAATTTTAATTTCATTTGAAGGTCAATATTGTACGTTTAGTTGTAAAAAACTGCTTTTGATTTTAAATAAAAATCTAAAATATTAAAAATAAAATGGGAATAAATTTTAATTATACATTATATTTTTATTAAAATAAAAATATATATTTTTTTTTAAAAATTAAACATATTTAACTCAAAATTTTTTTTTTTAAAAAAAAATAAAAAAATTATTTACAACTAAAAATAAAAACTTAATAAAAAAAGAAATGTCAACATCAGGAAATAATAACAATCAAAATATTTAATAGTAACAATATGAAGAAAAGCCTAAAGACTTAAAACTAGATTTTAAAATAAAGTAATATATATATATATATATATATATATATATATATATATATTTATATATACATATATACAAATAATTAAAAATTAAATAAAAAGAAACGTATTTGGTTACCGAAGTGATTTTAAAAACAATATTTTTTAGCACCCTGACCAAAACAAAATAATATATCCAGCAGCTAATACTCTAGTAATAAATAGTAATGATAATAAGCCCTAATTTATAACTACATATCCAGGAACTAGAGGAATAACGTTTATTGCATAAAGTCCCTCAAAAAGATATTTGGCTTGGTCTGAGGAATGTGATAGTGGGATAATAGTAATATATGATTTACTAAAATAAGAAAAACCAGAAAAAAAGCAAGAAAAAAAATCAGAACAAATATACGATTTATCAAAAACAAAAGAATAAAAACAAGAAAAAACTGAAAAGAAAATCGAAAAATCTGAAAAAATAAAGACTTTGACAACAAAAGATTGCAAAAGTAGATACTATATAGGCCTTGATTTTAATAAATAAAATGAGAAATATTTAATTGCATTAGTATTTATATATATTTATATAAAATAAAATAATAATAATTATACATATAGTCCGGAGAGCCCGATTATTAATTAATATACTTTGATTGGTCAAAATAAAGGATAATAAGTTGTGTTTAATTAAAAATTGATCCCAGTATAAGATATTCACATTGTTTTATGCACCCAAAAGACGAAGATTTTTTCGTAGTTATAGGAACAGGTTGCATTAAGCCTTATAAACTTGGTACTGATTTAGTTTTTAAATAAAAAGATCCTCCATTAGTAAAAAAAGATAATAAAGACTGGGTACATTCACCAAATTATTAATCATATTGTCTTTTTCCTGACAAGTTTATGATTATAGGCACTGATATGGGTGAGTTATTACTTTTTACACCTGCATGTGAATTTAAGACAATACTTCCTACATCGCCTAAAAACGAATAATTTTCAATTGAATGTATTTAGCCTTTTTCAAGAGGTTTTCTTGTCGCAGGTTAAGATTGTACAATTTTAATTTTTTTGAAATACGATAATGATATTAAAAATCCATATGTTCGTGCAGATAAGAAAATTCAGTTTAAAGATTTAAGATATAAAATCACGTCTCTTTTGTTAAGTAATAATGAGGAAAAAATAATTGTAGGAATTGAAAATAATTAGATTATTTAGGCACCTTTTACAGCTGAAATTAGTTCCGTTTCTGAAGAAAACTCAAAAGCTGAACCACTTTTTGTATAATTTCATTAATAAAAAATAACCGGATTGGATGTTTGTATTCGAAAAACTTTATGTGTAACTTGTAGTTGTGATAAGAGTGTAAAAATATGGAATTATAATGATAATTCTTTAGAAAATAATAAATTTTTTGATGATGAGGCTCTGTGTGTGGCATTTCATCCCTCTGGATTGCATATTGTAGTTGGTTTTGTGGATAAAATTAAGGTCTTTAATATATTTGAAAATGATTTAATTGTTTTTTAAGAATTTGGTGTCAAAAATTGTAGAGAAATATAATTTTCAAATGGAGGACATTTATTCTCGGCTGTTAATTAGAATTCTATTTATGTATATTTGTTTTATTAAGGATATTGTCCACCTAATTTCATGTTCAAAAATGCTGGAAAAGTAAAGTGTATTGTATGGGAAGAAGATGATTAAGGATTCTTTTCGGGAAATTAAGACGGAGTTTTACATTATTGGAGAGTAGATGATATTGGACCTTAGAAAAGTGAAATTTATCAATTTTAAAATATGAATATTTCGTCAATTGCTACTTATTAAAATAAGGATTAAATTTAAGTTGAAAGAGTTGTTTTTGTAGGAGGAATTATAAACAGTAATAATGAGAAAGACTTTTGTATTTATAAACTTAGTGTTTAATGCAAAATTGTAATTTTTTTTTTTTTTAAAAAAAAAAAAACAAAACTAAAGGATAAGGATAATAGAGGTGAAAATGGAAGTATTGTCAAAAAAGTTTATTCTGTAATGAACTAGGGAATATAGAGAATATTTACAGGCACAAATATTTCTTAAATAGGATTAACTCATTCACGAAAGTTATTTTTTTTTATTTCAGAAGAAAACAATAAGCCGAGTTCATTAAGAATAACAAAATATCCATTCACAAATGAAATAATGGAAATGTAGCCACATTTAAATAATGTAAGTCGGTTAAGAATTAGTTATGATGATAATTATGTATTTACTTGTGGATTTGATGGGGCTTTTATAATATATGAGAATAAAGGAAAGGATTATAAAATGAAGCATGATAATGACAATTTATAGCCAGCAGATGAGTTTTTAATACCAATAGAATTCTATAATGAATAAAAAAGAGAAATTGAAAAACTAAATAAATAATTTAACGAAGAAAAATTAAAATAGAAGATATAAGAAAATGAAAGGAAGAAAATAAGAAATGATAAAATTGAAGAACTAAAAAAATAGACTAAAAATAATGAAAAAAGAGATATGAATAAATTAGAATAACTTCAATTAGAAAAAAATGAAATGATTTAAACTTATGAAGAAAAGAAAAAAATGATGAAACTTTAACATGAAAATAATAAAAGAACTATTGAAAATGAATATAAAAGAAAGATTTAATTTGAAATGGGAAGAAATGAAGAACTTATAAGAGAAAAAGAGAAAGAAGAAAAGAAATTTAAATAAGAAATGTAATCATTAGAAACTAATTATCTTAAAATTATGGATGAGAAGAAAAAGTATTATGATTAATAGCTTTTATAAGAAAAATTAATATATTCGGAATTACATAATAAGAAGAAATTACTAAAATAAGATTTTGAAAATAAAAGAGATAAATTGGAATTTGAAGCGGAAGATGAAATAGATAAACTAAAAGAAAATAATGAAATTAAAATGCAAATTTTATTCTAAAACCTTGAAAAAGCTGAAAGTATTTTTATTTATTTTTTATTTTATTAATTGTATTTTTAATAGTTAAAAAAATGGAAAAAAGAAGCGATTATGATACAGAAGCTTAAAAGTTAGAAGAATAAAAAAGTAAATTAAAATAAACTATGGAAGAAATTTCTTAAAGATAAGAAAAGAACAAATAATTAATTAAAGAAAAGGAAAGTCATGCTAAAGAAATCGAAGAAAGAGAAAAAACAATAAAAGATAAATAAAGAAGAATATATGAATTAAAAAAAAAAACTTAAGAATTAGAAAAGTTCAAGTTTGTTCTTGATTATAAAATTAAAGAGTTAAAAAGAGATATAGGTCCTAAAGAAGAAGAAATTGCTAAAATGAAAGAATAAATTGCAAATATGAATTCTGAAACTTTACATTTTAAAAGAACTATTTCTAATTTAAGTATTTTTTTATATTTTATTTTTTAAATAATAAACATAAAATAGAATTAATTGTAAATGATTTAAGATTAAGATAAAAAGGTATGAAAAAAGAAATTGATAATTAATAGAAAATAATTAATAATAGTGAACAATATATTAAATCTTTTGAATAAGATATGTCTGAATGTCACTAATAAATTTCAGTAAATAATTTTTATAATATTAATATATGATAAATGTTTTATAATATATATATATAATCATATTTTATAATATTAATATATATCATTTTTTATATTATTAATTTTTAATGATATTTTATTATATTAATATTTAATCAATTTCTTATAATATTAACATATAATTAATATTTTATAATATTTATACATATTAAAGGATCCAAAAAAAATAAAATAATAAATATTATGCTTATATAATTAATATGTTTAATCTGATGATTCTAAAAGGAAAAAAATAGATAATAATGATTAATAAAAAGAAATTATTAAAGAAAGAGCCCATTTAGAAACTTCAGTTAACAATTTAAAAATTAAACATGATAAAAATTAGAAAGTCCATAAATCTGTAAAATATTTTTGTTTTGTTTTGAATAATATTTTTTTTTTTATTTATTTAAAGGATACTGAAATTATCATGAAACATAATACTTTTTTAATTATAGAAATTAACTAATTAAAAAGGGAAAAAGTTCAAATATTAGAAGATAAAAAGAAGACATAATAAATTAATAAAAAAAAAAAAGATGGAGGAATTTTTAATAACGATTAATTATAGTAACTTGAAAAAGATATTTAAAATGTTGAAAACGAAAAGAAAAAGCTCTTTGAAGAAATTTAAAACTATAATTAATTGATTTAAAGTGCACGAAGTATTTTTTATTTTTTAAATATAAATTATAATAATAAAAATAGATGAAAGTGTTCATCAATTAGAATTTTAAGATTATGATTGATTTAAAAAAAATAAGTGACGAAATAATTTTTATACATATAATTTTTTTAAAAAAAAAAAAAAAACCAATTTTTTATATATAACAAAAAATTAATATATACTCATTTGTAAAGAATAAAATTAATTAAATAATAATTGATTAAAATATATTTTAAAAATATGAAAAAACATAATAAACATCTAATTAAAAATTACAGAATCTATATAAAAAAATTATATATTAAATATATTTGAACTAATAAATAATAGTTAAATATTATTCTCTTAAATAAAACAATAATTTTATTAAATAAAAAAAAAACCTTTTGAATAATATTTGCATTTAATATGCCTAAAATAATAACAGAAAGATATATTTCAGAATAATTATATAATTTTACTAAAAATAGTTAAATTCCAAATTTCAAGTAAATATATATCTTGAAATTTTATTACATTTATATAATATTTTTATAGGCCTTTTATAAATTATACTTTTAAAATAAAATGTTTTTAAAATGATTTATTTATTATAATTTTAAAAGATTTATTATGTATTAATAATAAATATTACTTAATAAAATTTTAATAAATAATTATATATTTTAAATTATTATTAAGATAATATTTAAAAACTAATTTATATTTTTTACACATGAATAATATGAATATGTTTTTTTTTTATTTTTAATTTAAATATTTTAAAATTGCTCTTTTACTATTATTTATTATAAATATCCTAAACTAATATTTATAAAAGTATTTATGTAGGTATTTTCTTTACTACCTTATCATAAAAATAATATTTCGTATATAATCTTTTAAATTAAAATTATGGTATTCTAATATATATTTATATTTTTGAGAAGATTATAATAAGAATAACCTTAAACACAACTATATTTTTAAGTTTCGATGAGAACAGGGAGTTCACCTTTTACGAGATTTAATTTATTGATTACAGTATTTATTTTTCTTTAAAATCAGTTTATTTTAACAAATAATAAAATCTGAAAGAAACATGAAAAATGCATTTATAAAATAAATAGAATTAAGAAAAAAAAAAAAAAACATAAAAAAAATTAAACCTTTCTTTAAAAATAAAAACAAGTACAAAATAAAAAATAAAACATTAAAATAACCTATATTCTTTAATAAATAAAATAAAAAAAGAATTAAAAACATTTATTATTTAGTTTTTCAAAATCTTTCACCTCTAATTCTTCTAGCTAATTATAAATCCTTAGTCATAATAGTAACTCTTCTTGCATGTATGGCACATAAATTGGTATCTTCGAAAAGTCCAACTAAGTAAGCTTCAGAAGCTTCTTATAAGGCAAGAATTGCAGAAGATTAGAATCTCAATTCTGCTTTAAATTCGTGAGCAATATCTCTAACTAATCTTTAAAAAGGGAGTTTTCTAATTAATAAATCAGTTGATTTTTAATATTTTCTGATTTCTCTTAATGCAACTGTTCCTGGTCTGAATCTGTGGGGTTTTTTTATTCCTCCAGTAGCAGGTGCTGATTTTCTTGCAGCCTTGGAAGCTAATTATTTTCTGGGAGCTTTTGCACCTGTTGATTTTCTTGCAGTTTATTTAGTTCTAGCCATTTTTTATTATTATTTTTTGTTTTATTATTAAATGTTTTTTATATTTAAAATATTATTAGTATTTTTTTTTATTTTTTTTCGTATTTTTAGATTACATAAAGTATCTTTATAATATTTTGATTATCCAATCATATTTAATATCTTTATTAATGTAGGATAATTAATAATAAAAAATTAAATATTTTTATTATTTGATTTTTTATTAATTTTATTTAAAAAAAGATGAAACAAAAAAAAAAAAAAAAAAAATTATTGGTATATAAATCATTCTTTTTTTTTTTTCTATTATTTTAAACTAAAACTATAATGTATTATTCATGAAAAATTAATATAATAAAAAATTCTTATCAATAAATATATTGAAAATCAACTAAAAATATATTTATATTTCAAAATAGAAATATAAGAATAATTTTTAAGACTTTTTTGATTATTAATATATATTAAGATAATTTGATTCGCCTTGATTATATTTGTGTCCTTTAAACTTATTTAATTAATTAATTAATAGAAGATATATGATTAAATTCCGTTTGTAAATACCTATAGATTATCGTTCTATAACTTTCACAAAAAACTGCTAAAAAAACATATTTTATTAAAATATCAATTAAATTTACATTATTTAATGAAGTAGCATCTTTAATAAAAACTTTTTATATTTTCAAAAACGAAATCAATAATTTTTTTATATAAAATATAAAATTAATATTAATAATATATTTTTAGAATAAAATATTATTTTATGAAAAACATATTTAAGATTTTCGTTTAATAAATATTTTTTGTTTTATTTAAATAAAGTTAAAAAAAAAAACTATATATAAATATAATAAAAAAGAAACAAATTAAATAAAATATTATATTTTTCTAAATTAAAAGACGATTATTTTTTATTTTATTTTAGAAACAATAAATAATATATAAATCTTGTCAAAATATTTTACTAATTAATATTTTATTAAAAATTAAGTAAATTATAAATTATATAAAGTGTTATAATAATATTTTTCAAAGCCTTATTCTATGGATAATAATTATTTTTATAATATGAAGTTAACATTATATAATTTAAAATTTTTATTTAATCTTAGTTTCACAAATATTTAGAGGATATATCTACATAAATAATATTAATAAAATAATTACTATTCTTTTATATTTAATAAATTATTATATATATATATATATATATATATATATATTAATATATATATATATATATATATATATATATATTTATATTACTTTTATAAATCTTTTTATTTATTTTTTCTGTAATTTTATTTAATAACATAATAAAAATAAAAAAGGCTCTTAAATAAATTCGATTAATTTTTATTATGATATAGATAAACAGAAGATTTTAAAATTTTTTTACAATTAAGAATTTAAAAAATATTTTTAATTAATTTTATTTACAAAGAATATAATTATAGGTAATATAATATTTGACTAATAATAAAAATATTAATATAAATTTGAAATTAAAAATAATCTATATATTTATTTTTTGGGATTTATATTTTTATATATTAATATTTATATTTTTATAGAAAATATGATTATTTTTTTATTTATATTTTAATATCAATTTATATATTTTTATTTTTAATTATAAAATAAAAAATTTAATTTTTTATTAAAATATATTTAAATTTATTTCATTTAATATTTAATAGATTATAAGTTTAAAAATTAATAAACTTTTGATAATATTACTAAAATAAAATACAATTAATAAACAAAACTCATTTATAATATATTTAATATTTAAAAAACAATTAGAAAATAATATTTATAATTATAATTTTTTAAAGATTAACTTATTTTTTTATTTTATTTATGTTTTGTTTATAAAAAATATATTAAGTTTAATGCTGTAATTAATTTTTTTTAGTTAAATTTTGCTATTTTAAATAATTCTTATGAATAATTGATTTTATGTTTAAATATTAAAAAGCTTATTTTTTTTTTAAAAAAAAAGAATAAAAAAAAAATTAATTATTCATAATTATATTATTTTAGTTACAAATAATAAATAATTAATTAAATTAATAATATAAAAAAAATAACATCAAAAAAATAACAAAAAATGTCGCAAAATGGATTCGGAGGTACATTTTTACCTCAAATAACCAATAATTAAAATTTTTTACCGCCATTAAATGATGCAATTACAGTACAATTTCCTCCTCTTCCACAAAATTAAATGGGAAGTTTGAATAATTATAGTGCATTTAAAATGCTTGAAAAAATGCGAGAAGAAAAATTAATGGCAATATTAGAAAGATAAACTGAATTATTATCGAAAATAATGGCTAAATTCAAGATCGTATAGGATAATTAAAACTAAAAACTAAAAGACAGAATATTATAATTAGAAAGGGAAAATGAAATTCTATAAAGAAGAAGAAGAGAAGATTAATTAGTTAATCATATAAATAAAAGTTTAGATGTTAAATTTAAATAATATAACGAAAGTTAACTTAAATCGTTTTTAGAAGGTGGATCAAGTGCTTTTATGTAACCAATGTCTTTAGATCCTTAAGATTTTAAAAAATTATTCGCTGTTAATGAAAAAGAAGATGAAAGTGATGAAGATAGACATAAGAAAAAAAAGAAAAAAAAAAGAAAAAAAGAAAAATAAGTAGATAAAAGTAATGATTAATAATGAATATATAAATCAATATATAAATATATAAATATAAAAAATATAAATATTTAAAATAATAAACATTTTTTTTATATATATATAATAATAATAATATAAATTTAAATTTATTGTAATAATATATCTATATATATTCATTTATATACATATAATTCTTTTATTTTTATTTATTAATTAATATATATTTTTATTGTACGAATTATTTATTTAATTCAATATTTATTTATTATTTAA